TATTGGCATACTAAATACATAAATTGAAAATCAGAAATAGTCTCAAAGTACCTCCCCCCAAATACTTGATGTTGGAGACAGCTTGCAGACATCAACTTAATCAAGTGATCCAAGTACACATCATCAGTAGTGGGAGAAATCAAAACTTCATGCCACCTAAAAGGGTGCAATGAGAAGACTATCACTTCTGTGGTATTCCTGCCAAAGACACATAACTTAATCAAATCAAGAGAACACCAGAAAAACCTTAGGGATATTCTAAAACATAACCAGTCTGTGGTCTTCAATGGTGTCAAGGTCATAAAAGTCAAGAAAAAAACAACTGAGGAAATGATCCAGATTGAGGCAACTAAAAACATGAAAATAAAATACGCCACATGATTCTGAATTAGATCTATTTGTTGCAAAAGGCTTATTGGGACAATTGATGAAATGGAGTGGCAGCTGATGATTAGCTGGTGGTAATATATCGGTGTTATTAATAATTTTCTAATTTGGATAATTGTTTTGAGGTTAGGTAGGAAAATGTTTTTGTAGGAATTAAACACTGAAATATTCAGTGTCATTGGGTACTGTGTTGGCATCTTACTCTCAAACAGTTCAGAAAAAAATAAAAGGCCTTTGTACCGTACTTGAAATTTTTTGCAGATTGAAATTATTTCAGCGTTTTTAAAAAGTGGAAAAAAGGCCAGGCATAGTGGCTCACACCTGTAATCCTAGCATTCTGGGAGGCCAAGGCAGGAGGATTGCTTGAGCTCAAGACCAGCCTGCGCAGGAGCAAACCCCGTCTCTACTATAAATAGAAAGAAATTAGCCAAACAACTAAAAATAGAAAAAATTAGCCAGGCACGGTGGTGTGTGCCTGTAGTCCCAGCTACTTGGGAGGCTGAGGCAGGAAGAAGATGAACCACAAATATCAAATGGGCCCTCAAGTGTGCCTGGCCATCTTAGTCACTTCTCTGCAATCTGTGTGTTGTGTCCTGATTCCAAAATAACTATTACTATATTTACTTTTCCTCTTTCTTTTCAAAGCCTGAACATCCACATCCAACCCTCTCCTCTGCCCACTCATCCTCTACCCTTCGCTGCTCTCAGCAGATAACCTGGCCTCATGTTACACTGAGAGAACACAAGCAACTTCACACACAATTTCCCCCTCCATGTCACCAAAACAGAAGTCACACCTTCCCATGGACCCATCATCCTTGCTCTCCCTTGTATTCCAGGATGAAGCCTCTGCTCCTGTCAACGGCAGTGTCAACACAGGTAGTCTCTAGCCCATCCCACTCACTACTCCAACTTAGGCTGAGTGTTTCCTGCATCCTGCGTTTCTACCTCTTCCCTGGGTCACCTCCATCATCCTACACTCTGCCATAGTAACTCCATATTACAAGAATACTCGCTGACCCTACCTAACCTCCAACTACAATTTCATTCTCTGCTCCCTTTACAGCAAGATTTAGGAAAAAGATGTCTGTACTCACCAACCCCTTGTCCTCACCTCCCATTCTCCTTTCGACTCTCTCTAATCTGGCTTCTATCCTCATCCAATTAAAATCATTCCCCCAGGATTTCTCATGATTCCTTAGTGCCAGTTCCAGTAATCACCTCTGTTCATCTCAGCAGCATTTGACAAAGTGAATCATTCCTACTTCTAACAACCTTTCCCAGTTGCCTAATGGATAAGGCACTGGCCTCCTAACAACCTTTCTCCCTGGGTTTCTCATTTATAGCCTCCCGCACTGACTGCTTTCTCAGACCTTCTGCTTTCTCTGCCTTTTTTTTTTTTTAGACAGTCTCACTCTGCCTCCTCAGCTTCAGTGCTGTGGCACTGAAATTCCTGGGCTCAGGTGATCCTCCTGCCTCAGCCTCCTGAGTAGCTGGATTATAGGCGCATGCCATCATGCCAGGCTAATTTTTCCTATTTTAATAGAGATGGGTCTCACTCTTGCTCAGCTGGTGTCCAACTCCTGAGCTCAAGCAATATTCCCACCTCAGCCTCCCAGACTGCTAGGATTACAGCCTTGAGCCACCTCTCCCAGCCTTTAATTTCTAAATGTGGGAGGTTTCAGGGCTCAAGCCTATAACCATTTGATATACTACGTTATTTTGCTTATTTGTCTCTTCTCACCAAAATATAACTTCCAAAGAGACATAGTTTTATTCCACTTTTTTTTTTCTTTTTTTTTGAGACAGAGTCTCACTTTGTTGCCCAAGCTAGAGTGAGTGCTGTGGCGTCAGCCTAGCTCACAGAACCTCAAACTCCTGGCTCAAGCAATCCTT